TGTCAGGGGGAGACAAAGTAGATGAGGTTCGGCTAGCTTTGTCTCACGTGGATAAGGGTGGTAGGCAGCTGATACTTAAAGATATGTCGCATGGACGTGAATAGCTCGCGTGAGCGATCAGCGCAAGCGCTCATGGGGGCTGCCCGATTCGAAACATTTTCCAAGATGAAAGGGGAGTTCTAAGAACAGTTATCATCGGTAATATGTTGGTCCACTAGATCAACTGTATTTTTCTGGCATTTTCTAGCATGTCTATCTTCTTATAAAGTGAATCCGGCATATACTTTTCTGGTGATGTTTTCAAATTTTTTCTTCATTTCTAAATATAAGACCTTTTAGAGATTCCAATATGGAACACATACGGATGTATGTAGATACATTTTGGAGTGTGGATTCACTCATTTTGCTCTATATGTAGTCTGCCTTGGAATCTCTCAATTGTCTTACACTTATTTAGGAACGAAGGTAGTATATTTTTCTGCTGTGAGTCCTGTCATGTACTTTAATTTTCCATTCTTATTGAGATAGATCGATCAAATAACTATGACGTTTTTTTATGCCCGTACATATAGGTGTGTGTAGCACATCCTGCGGAAACATGAGTGTGCCATACCCGTTCGGCATAGATTCGCCCAACTGCGCCTTGCCGGGGTTGAAACTCACCTGCAACATGTTGTACAGCGCCCCGCGACTGATGCTCGGTACCCTCCGTGTTGTGGAGATCTCCCTTCCCAACAGCACGGTGACGGTCATCAACACCGACCCAGTCCTTGATCTCTATGGTGGAGTGTCATCCCCACGTATGATGGAGCCTTTCAGGAGCGAGGACAGTGGAGACATGACGCCCTTCTCTCTATCGACCGTCAACGAGCTCATTCTCATCGGTTGCAGCGTGCAGGCGGCACTGACCGTAGCTGGCAGCAATCAGGCCATCCTTAGCGGTTGCGCCACTTTCTGCTCGTCAGATGAGCACGGCACCTACCATGACCCCGTCGTGGTTGCTGCTAACGACAACGATGGCGATGATCAGTACTGCAATGGCAGAGGCTGCTGCCAGGCACACATCTCCATGTCCAGGTACGGCATGCCCAATGAATTCTGGATCAATTGGACAGACTCCAATGTTGTCAAGGACGAGACTTGGCCGCACTCATATGCGTTCGTCGCAAAGGAGGGGTGGTTCGGTAAGCGCCGCGTCTCTGCCGAGATTCTGCATCTCCGGTCCCCAACGCCAGATGTCCCTGTTACGGGTCTGGAAGTTCCCATGGTTCTGGACTGGGAGGTGTTGCAATTGCAAACGCCGGCCGCTGCCAAAGTGGGCAGGAAGCAACATGTCAACTGTCCCGGCATCTGCACGAGCAAGAACAGCCTCTGTAAACCAAAGATGAGAGGCTATACGTGCCAGTGCAGAGAGGGTTATGAAGGGAACCCTTACCACCCCAAGGGATGCACAGGTTAGCATCCATTCCATGCCCGCACCCACCAGTAGATGTATACAAGTGGTTCGTTTGGTTCTAGTGTAATTGATTAAGTTAATTTTTGTCTTTGTTGTCTGCAGGTGGCCGCAAGATTTTTAAAGGTGAGCAACGCTGGAATTACTCCCATTGGCCCGTGTATACATGGAGACTAGCATTCGCAAATACGACTCAGATGTCGCTCCTTCTCATTACTTAATTTTTCAATATTTTCAGGCATGAACGTCTTTATAGGTGTTGCCACTGGATTTGGCATTGTGCTTTTAGTGCTCGGAGCATTTGTCATTTCAAAGAAACTGAAACATGGAAAAGCACAAATAATGAAGCGGAAGTTCTTTGAGCAGAACCGTGGGCAATTGTTACAGCAGTTGGTATCTCAGAGAGCTGATATTGCAGAAAGAATGATCATATCGTTGGAAGAGTTAGAGAAGGCAACCAACAATTTTGATAAAGCCCGTGAACTTGGTGGAGGGCATGGCACAGTATACAAAGGTATTTTATCCGACCTCCATGTTGTGGCCATAAAAAAACCCAAGAAGGTGGTACAGAAACAGCAAGAGATTCGTGAGTTTATCAATGAGGTAGCTGTCCTATCACAAATCAACCATAGAAATGTAGTAAAATTATATAGTTGTTGCCTTGAAACTGAAGTTCCGATGTTGGTCTATGAGTTCATATCTAATGGGACCCTTTACAAGCATCTTCATGCCAGAGGACCAAAATCATTGTCTTGGGCTGACAGGCTGCGGATAGCCATTGAGGCAGCAAAATCTCTTGCATATCTTCACTCAGCTGCTGCTATACCAATCATTCATAGAGATGTCAAGTCTGCTAATATACTTCTAGATGATACTCTAACAGCAAAGGTAGCAGATTTTGGAGCATCAAGGTACATTCCGATGGATATATCTGGGGTTACAACAAGGGCTCAAGGTACGAGAGGATATTGGGATCCTACTTACTTTTACACAGGGCGGCTAACTGAAAAAAGTGATGTTTACAGCTTTGGGGTCGTCCTTGTGGAGCTGCTAACTAGAGAGAAACCATTCTCATATTTGTCAGCAGAAGACGAGAGTCTTGTTACACATTTTGCCGCCTTGTTTGAAAGAGGCCAATTGCTGCAGATTTTGGATCCACAAGTCATAGAGGAAGGAGACAAACAAGTTGAAGAAGTGGCTAGTATTGCATTAGCCTGCGTAAAGTTAAACAGAGAGGATCGTCCGACCATGAGACAGGTGGAGCTGATGCTGGAAGGCACACGTGTATCTATGGGGCAAACTTCCAATAATGCATCTCCATCTACAAAAGTTGAAAGGAACACTAGAGGGTCGATCAGACGATACAGTATGGAACTTGAGTTCAGGTTATCTGCAGAGCACCCTCGGTAGCTTTGCTTGCATGCAAATGACATCGACACGTTCAAATTTCATATTAGTGATTTTTATGTATTTAGTTGGCTTAGCCAGAATGTGCTCTGGCGAGAGCTTTATTTTGTTGTTGCTCATCCTACTTTGTGTAACATACCTATTGTTGTGGAACAATGTCTGGAGAAGAAATAAAGCAAGACTATTGCCCCGCTTCTTCTCATCCCCTTCATGCTTGTTATCTGCTTGCGAAGAACCAATCCATATGTATATCGTAATCTTTACTCGGAAACAGCTAACACAGCCACAATCGAGGTCACAACTGCGTGGCCACAATATTTCCACCAATAGGTAGCTACGCATAAGAATCTCAATATGGATGCATAGACAATCGAGGTCAGCGAGTGTTTACTATAAGGTTGGGAAGGGTTCCTACTCCTCGATGAGGAGTCGCGTTGGTTTATATTGATCAATGACAAACAGCTCTACCATGGCTTACAAGAAGAGGGAACCAATCACTAGTCATCTTCCAGGATTCGGTTGTTACGAGGAGACCTAAATAGCTACGAGAGGGAGAGATATAGAAGATGGTTGAGATTACATTGTAGAGATAAACACAAATTCTAACACCCTCGCTTAATCTCAACTATTCTATTTTTATGTTCCTCTTGAACTCTTCGAATGCTTTTGCTGGTAGTGCCTTGGTGAATCCATCAGCTACTTGATCCTTGGAGGGAATGAACCGTATCTCAAGTTTCTTCTCTGCAACTCTTTCTCACACAAAGTGAAAATCAATTTCAATATGTTTTGTTTTTGTATGAAAAACCTGATTTGCAGATAAGTATGTTGCTCCCAAGTTGTCACACCATAAGCATGAGATACGATTTGACTTAATTCCCAGTTCTTCAAGTAGTGAATCTAACCAATAATCTCTGTAGTTGCATTTGCCAAAGATTTATACTCAACTTCTGTGCTTGACCTTGACATTGTTGTTTGTTTCCTTGCAAACCAGGAGATGATATTAGAGCCAAAAAATACTGCAAAACCTCCAGTTTACTTTCTGTCGTGATTGCAACCTGCCAATAAGCATCAGAAAATGGACTGACAAGCGTGGAGTTAGAACATCTGAAATTAAGTCCTAATCCCACAGTAAACTTCATATATCTCCCAATCCACTTGATAGATGTCCAATGAGCAGTGGTAGGAGCATGCAAGTACTGACAAGCCTTGTTAAGCACAAATGAAATATCTGGATGTGTGAGTGTCAATTATTGTAATGCCCCCACAGTGATTTTGTACCTTGTACTTTCTTCCTCCTGGAGGGGCTCTCCTTCATATGCTGAGAGGTTTTCTGAAGAGAATAACGGTGTAGATGCAGGCTTGCAATTAATTATTCCCATACGAGCTAGAAGCTGATTTGCATATATTTCTTGATTTTGTACTATGCCATCTTGGTTTTTCTTGACCTCAGTACCTAGGAAGAAATGTAAATCTCTTAGATCTTTCAAAGCTAATTCTGAGCTCAAGTCTTGTAGAAGGGCATTTGTAGCATTTTGTGAGGAACTTGCAACAATGATGTCATCAACATAAATAAGCACAAAAATGACTACCCTTGCCTTGTTGTAAATGAACAGAGATGTATCAGCTTTCGATGCAATGAAACCAACACATCTTAACTATGAGCTCAACCTAGAGTACCATGCTCTAGGTGCCTGTTTCAACCCATAAATTGCCTTATCAGGCTTACAGACATAATGTGGCGTTTTCTTGCTTAGATATCCGGGTGGCTGTTTCATGTAAAGTTCTTCTTCTAGAATGCAATGCAAGAACACATTCTCTACATCTAGCCATCTTAAACTCCAGCCCCTAGATACAACAATGGCTAAGACAAGTCTTATAGTTGCAACTTTCACAACAGGCCTAATGGTATCTTTATAATTTATACCATAACAGTGTTTAGAACCTTTTGCATGTAAAAGTGCCTTGTACCTGTCAATGGATCCATCTTCCTTCTTTTTGATCCTATACACCCATTTGCAATCAATAATATTTTTACCTTCCTAATTAGATGCCAAGTCTTGTTATTCATGAGCGCAAAATATTCCTTATCCATTGCCTTCTTCCATCTCAGATCACCTAGTGCCTCATTCAAAGTTGTTGGTTCATGTAAGATACACAACATGCCATATGGTATAGTGCCATCGGTCTGAATTTTGTGACTCCTTACACCTTTTTGTAGACGAGTCATAACGTGTGTAGATGCTGCTGGTTGTGTAAGCTTAGAAGAAGGTTGGCGCACATGCGAATCAGCCATAGAAGATCCAGACGAATCTGCTGCATGTGGTCTCTCCTGCACCGGACGCACTGGCGGCCATGGAGTCTGTGAGCACAAGCGATCCTCCGTCCACCGAAGGTTGCATATGAACGGAGCGGGAGGGGGATCCTGTCCTGCCTGCTGATTACGTGACGACGCACGACTGGGCCGGCAAAGAATCATGCCCGCGTTTTCCCAGGAGTCGATCCGAGGCTGATTGGCACACAGGAGTTCCTGGCGCCGCCAGATCAGCTGCGTATTCTATGCCCCGTTCGTCTTCTTCTGGTACATGAAATATAGCATGGTTTTTATCATTCAAACCATCATTCTAACCGCCGTCTTCGCCACTGTTCATGTTGAATTGCATAGGAATAAGAGCAGAATTGTTACTAGTAGTGTTACCATCATATTGGTCAGTACAATTGTCTCCCCCTTGATCAAAACTTCGAAGATTTTGGGGAATAAGAAGGATTTCTTCCGAAGGAGAGCACCAGCATTTGGATGAAGGGATTCGAATGGAAAGATGGACTCATCGAATACAACATCTCTGGATATGTAGACTCTTCATGTTGGAACAGCTAAGCATTTGACTCCCTTGTGCAGGGGACTATATCCTAGAAACACACATCGTTTTGAGCGAAATGCAAGCTTGCGTGTGTTGTAGGGTCTGAGATTTGGCCAACATGCACAACCAAAAATACGAAGTGATGTAGAATTTGGTATAATACAAAGGAGTCGTGTGATGGGTGTTTCAAGCTTAATGACCTTACTAGGAAGCAAATTGATGAGATATGTGGCAGTTAAGAAGGCTTCATCCCAAAACTTAAGTGACATGGATGAATTTACTAACAATGTTGGCCCTACATCAACAATATGACGGTGCTTCCTTTCAGCAGATTCGTTGTGTTGGTGAGCATGAGGACAAGAGACATAGTCACTAGTGCAGAACCGGCCTTTAGTGCCGGTTCGGCAACCGGCACAAAAGAGTGGGGACTAAAGGTCCCCCCTTTAGTACCGGTTCATCACAAACCGGTGCTAAAGTGTCACCACGTGGCACGAGCCAGGCCCAGGTGCGTGTAGGACATTAGTACCGGTTGGTAACACCAACCGGTACTAAATGTTTGGGAGGGTTTTGGCTTTATTTTCCATTTAATTCTTTTTTGTTTGCTGGTATTTCACGATAGTAAAAATTGTACACGTTATGCATATATATAAATAGATTTTCTCGTACGTAAAACCGCATACACATATATATAATATATCATCGAATGTCTCACAACCAACACATGTATATACATATATAATTTCTCCTACATGTTGCCTTGGTGCCTTTCGAGCACGATGACAAGTGGTTCATGGGGCGGTAGTGGGTAATAGTATTCTCCTTTGGGATATATGACCTGGTCGAACAAAAATCTGGCTATTTCCTCTTGAAGTGCTAGTTTGCGGTCCGCTGGTAGGAGCTTATCCCGCACCTCTCTGAACTGTTAAGAAGGAGATCAATATGCATGTGTATTAGTTGTGTTACAAGATATCAATAATGGTGTGAATAGTGTTCTGACAAACGTACCCTGTCCTGTCTTTGAGATCTGCTCCTTTCGGACGCCATCGTGCGATTGTTCTCGCAAACGTAGAATGCACATAGATCATTCCCCGGCGCCTGCTTCAGGGCCTTTACGAGAATGGAATTGAATCAGATAATGATTAATCAAGCATGATAATTAATTAATGGTATTGAAACAAGAATTAAAGAGATGGTAGCTACCTAGTACAACTTAATTACTTACCTTTGGTCGATGCCAAAACAAGTTTTTTGGCCATTTGCCTGGAGTCACCTTGATGAACTTTGTCCAAGCCCTGCCCGCCGGCAAAGAAAATTAATAAAGGGGTTATTAAATAGTTCACATCAGGAAATGACGAACTAATAATAGGCCGAGATATAGTTAATAATAATTGAAATTACCTGTTGACTATCCCCTTCATGATGGTGTAGTATTTATCTTCTTTAAGTGGTGAGTCCAGTACTTCAACTATTGCTTTGTCAACTTTAATGTCTAACAAGATCCAGTGTAAACTGCATGCGCACACGTTTGCATGTCTTAATTAAGCGGGCATGTGCATAAAATTAATCAACTATCGTAAACTGTATACACTTAATTGTTAACATCTAGCTAGCTAGTAAGCAAAAACAGAATTTTTATTAACTCACAGGAAGTTGTAAGGAGTAGTATATCTTCATTGGTATTGAGGCGCTTCAAGAACTCTAGCATGCTTTCCTCTACACTTGCTTGACAAGTTGGAAGATTCCATGTGTACTCATTAATGGTATTTGGGTCAATGAACCCAATGCCATAGCGTCCAGATTTTTTCATTTCATACATCTTCATTCTGCATATAATACCACAGAAAAGAATATATAGTGAGGATAATTACATGTAATGATTGATCAAAAATTACACAAAGAAATCACTTACAGACAATAGCAACTGACAATAGATTTGTCGAGTGCACCTTGATTGTATAACTGAAATAGTTCTGAATACTCAACGCACAAAGCTTTCTCATGGAAGTAATGCTCCTTCTTGACATTCACCATGAGGGACTCTCGATTGGAAATCTTGATAATGTTCATGTACCATTGATGCAATTCATACATTCTTGTTGGGAGGTTCTTGACCTTGTCTGGCTCGACCAAAGGTTGGCCCCGGAC